TGATAAATATAGATTCAAGTGTTCTGAGACCCAGGGTGTCAGCGTTCAAACTTCTATATTAAAATTAAAATACTCCAGTCTCAGAAAATGACACAACTTCTCCTGTGCTTAGAAACTCTTAAAAGTCAGATTTTTTTTATAAAGAAGCTTAGAGGCAGCCTCATCTTTGAAACATTTCACACGAGTTATCCATGGACTTTTATGTATTAAAATGTATTCTGAAATGTTTACCGTGCAATTTGAAGAAGAAAAATTTAGGTCTTCAAAATTGTGATGAAAATGGCTCTGAAGGCTTCCATTTTCGGGACTATAAATTGCCTTCATCCTTCCAGCTATGGGCTTTTTCCGTTTTCTTTTCTCTTTTCCGCTCTTCTTACGCTGTGTTCTGGCTTCGCAGTTTCCAGCTTGGCGTCTTGGTGCAGAGTGCACAGCCTCCTGAACCAAAAAGAAGACGCGCTGCCATCTGACCGATTCTAATGCATGCAGTGTGAGGCCCTAGGGCAGAAGAACTGCCCTGTGGGGTCTCCAAACTTCTAAATCTTTTGAAGGCTGCAGAGTGGTCAGTTTTGAACCACTGACCCTATGATTGGCAGCTCAATGTATAATCAACTAGCCACCTTGAGTGCGTAGTTTCCCTCCATAGTCCCTTAATACCGTATTCTTTTTCAAATATTTCTTACCTTTTTGTGTCTTATCCTGTACTTTCTGGATCTGAATTCTTCTCCTATTTAAAGCTAAAATGATAAATTAATATAACTTAATAGCTGAAAATATAACGGAACACCATAGCTAAGAAACAAGAGCAGATGCAGTCTAGCCAATGCAGTGTTCTGAATCAGCACCCCAAATAACCTCAGGAACAAGCCTGAAAACCAAGGCATCCAGAAAAAAAAATTGGTGGGGGGGGTGTTGGGCTGTGTATATTGTGAGTAGTGCTCAGGGGAAAGAGATAAAAACTAAAAGTGAAAAAATTCAGTGGCTGGTCAGTAAAGTTTGGGAGGTGAATTTCCAGTTAAAGAAATACAGGAGGAAAGTTTCACTTTCTTGAAAATGAAGAAACTGTAGTGATAGGCCAAGCACTTCTGACTGGAGGGGAGGAGTAGAAGCCAAACGCAGGCTCTCTGAAGCAGGTCTGGACAATTTTAAGATCAGCTCAGATCACCTAAAGCAGATTTGAAGATAACTCAGAGCATTTTGTTGTGGTAGTGCTGTCTGAAAATTCAACTCATTTCCCTTGTGGGGACACAGCTTGAATTTGAGAGGCACCACATTTTAAGAGAATCTCCAAGAGGCTGGGCTTCAGCCTGGTACAGAGAAAGCCCACATTTTCACAGATACCTTGTGTTCTGAAGGGCTTTTTAACATTTTACAAGCCATCGCTGTCCCCAAGTGAGCCCACCCAATGCTTTTCATAAAAACATTCCATACCACTGGCATTCTTCTGTTCCTTTTATCAGGACTGCTGACTTTACACGAAGAAGGGGGAGGAGGTCGGCATCTCAAACAGCAGACCCCAAGCCCCCAGCGCTCATTAATAAACTAGGCCCAGGGGAGAAATGGGCCTGTGCTCAACTGCAGTGGAATTCAGACGACCCATATAGAAGGGGCCAACCCAGCCTCCCCACAAAGGCCAGCCCAGTGGTAGCACGGAATTCCACCCCTGAACTATTTGTTTGTTAATAAACTTGAAAGGGGAGGGAAAGCTTGAATGCCTGGAAGAATCTTAAGACTCTAGGCCTGGCCTAGTTGGTTTCTCAGAGGAGTTTCGCCCAAGCATCCTTAGAGTCTAGGTTTACATTGATAGGCGACCTTCAGTTCTGACTCAGGACACTGGGCTGTGGGAAGAGAGTCCATACATATGGGGGTGTGGGGGCTTACCTTCAGAAAGTTCATGGGAAAATGGAGTGAAAAGAGAATGATATTTTTCCATGAGCTTTTGGAAACCCCTTTATATTATCCAGTTTTCTTTGAATAATGAGTGGCATTTGTTGGTATTGAAATTCTCGCCCCTATCTGGATCCGCACAATCTCCCCAGAACCTCTCTCTGCCAGAGAGCTAGCCCTGGGCTGGAAGGAGCCCCTGGGTGATTGCAATAACAGACCTCCTATGTGCAGATTCACATGTTTTTGAAACTCCTCATTAGACTACCAGGAAAAGCTGGGTGATGGCTATGAGGCTTCCTTAACCTCAACCCAAAATCTACTGTTGTTGAGTTCTTTCTGACTCCTGGCCACCCCTCTGCGTAGTGAAGAGTGAGCAGAACCGCTTCCGTAGGGTTTTCCTGGCTGGAATCTTACAGCAGCAGATGGGCATCTCTCCCAAGGTGCCGCAGGGAGGATTCCAGTCGCCAGATCCAGGTGAATCGTGAAGTGTGAACAGTTTGCTCTCCCCGGACCTCCCTTGACAAAAGAGGATGAAGAGAAACGGCTTAGTGAATAGATATTTTTTTGGCCAAGGAATCTTGATGTGGCTTCCAGCCTTTGTCTTCTGACCCCAGGTGGGGAACCTTGTGGATAAAAACCTGTTTAAGCATACTCCCAGGATGTTGGCAGCATCCCAAGTGCATATCCGCACATAAAAATATCAGCAATTCATTAGCTAGAGCTTGGGGTTTCCCTTAGCTCTCTGCTTCTTCTTCCCTCCATTGCTGTATTCCCAGCTTCTTACCCCACTTCCTTACCTGCCTTCTCCAAACTTTGCTCTGGATTTGTTTGTTGTCATTAGAACATCGAATAATATTCTGTATCCTATAAGTTATGGGCATGTGCTCTGGAGTCAAATGAACTTAATTCCAAGCCCTGGCTCTTCCTCATATTAAACCCATGACTTTGCACAAATAATCTGTCCTTTCTAAATCTCAGTTACCACATCTATGGGTAACTGGGGCTAGTGCCTAACTCATTGGGTTCTGGTGAGGATTCAATGAGATGATATGTAGAAGTTTTGGGTATGAAGATGGTATGTGTTAAATGTTAGAGATTTGCCAGAGGACTTCCTGTTTGTTGGTTCGATTTCTGACCGAAGATCCTGGCCTGAGAAGGACCCTCCAGTGGACGGCCTGCCCAAACAGCCTCCACATGCATCGCCTCCAGTGACTGCAGAGATGAGGGGATGATTCCTGCTGGCCTCGTTTTTAAGGAGCAGAGCTCTGTTTGAGGGTACACATGGCAAGGAAAGATTTATGGGTGACTGAGTTCCCTAGTAAGACACCCTGGTGATGCAGTGAGTTAAGCATCCACCTGCAAGCTACGAGATCAGCAGTTTGAACCCACCAGTTGCTCCATGGGAGAAAAATGAGGCTTTCTACTCCCACAAAGATTTCCAGTCCTGCAAACCCACGGGGGCAGTCTGTCCTGTCCTAAAGGGTTGCCACGAGTCACAGTGGATTTGATAGCAGTGAGTTTGACTTTTTTTTTTAAGTCCCTGGGTTGTGCAAAAGGTTACCATGCTCGTGCTAAACACAAGGTTGAAGGGTCAGGTTCACCCAGAGAAGCCCCAACAGAAGGACCTGTTGCTCAGCTTTGGGAAACCCTGAGGAGCTCAGTCTCTGATCCGGCACACATGGTCCAGAAAGAATCAACTGGACGTGACTGATATTCCAAATGGGAACTGTGGAACTAGGACTGTGGTTGCCCCGTTCAGCTCTCTGAGTTGTGGGGCGATAGAGAGATCTCTTCATTCCCCCTGCCCTTTCCCCATTTTCAACATTCAGTCAAGTGGTTGCTAGCCAGCCCAGGCCTTGTGAGCAGAAGGAGCAAGGAACTCTGGGAGAGGGGATGGCAGAGCCCCGCCCCTGTGTTGAGGAGTGCTCAGCCATTTACCTGACGGAGGCAAGTCTCAGAGGTGACCCGTCCCAGTCACATTGGCAGTCAGGCCCCGGCTCACGCTCTGTCCCCAGCCTAAGCCCCTCCCTTTGCCACAAGACTGAATAATGAGTGCCCCCTCAGACGTCCTGTTCCTTGGTCCTTCACAGTCTGGTGTTTTGCTTCACCAACTTTAAGAAGAAACTCCTCCATACCAGGTGAATGGTATCTCCACCCCTCACCTACAAAGGCCTAGGGAGAATAAACCATCACCTTCCTCCTTCTGACCGACTTGGTTTGACCTCCAGAGATAGTGCAGAGAAATATCTGTGAACTTGAGGTCCCTCACTCCCACCCTTGCCTTTTACTGCCATTCACTGATGGGTTCAATTTAATTTCTGATACCTTCTAAGCGTCTTTTGGAAAAAGGACTCTGAAGATGTGGCTACAGAATAGTCCCACTGATTAAAAACAACAACAACAATTTACTGCTTTCAGGCATCTGTTGGCCCAGGTGGTTTGTGATTGAGTACTAACCTAAAGGCTAACAGTTCAAACCTACCCACAGATACTGCAGGAGAAAAGATCTAGTTATTTGCTTCCTTAGAGATTCCAAAAAACCCCCAAACTCACTGCCATCAAGTTGAGGCTGACTCAGAGTGACCCTCTAGGACAGGGTAGACCTGCTCTTGTTGAGTTTCTGAGGCTGTAACTCGGTACTGGAGTAGAAAGCCCATCTGTCTCCTGAGGAGTGGCTGGTGGTTTTGGACTGCTGACTTTGGGGGAATCGCAGCCCAAGCCTTAACCACTAGGCTACCAGGGCTCTTCTCCTTACCTGATGGAACAGTTCTACTTTCTGACCTATGGGGTCGCCAGCAATCAGAATTTCCTGGAGAGCAACTAGCCACAGCAGTGGTTTTCAGGATGGTTTTGGATTGTAATTGCACAGGTACACACCAGCAACCGAGGTCAGTACTCCTGAACTTCAGTCAGGCCTCTGACCGTCCTCATGGGGCTGTATACTTTAAGGATGTTGCGTTCGGGATGAATATGGCGTGGAATGAAAACAGCAGAAGCAGGGAGGGCAATGGGACTTGCTGTGGGTGTGGGCTCTGGGATTGGAAGTTGTGGGATGCTGTGATCTCCTGTCCCCAAACCAATGTAGCAACTTTGGTTTTCATGTGTCTTTCAGCAAAATGATGCTTCAACACCCCAGCCAGGTCCCGGCCTCAGAAGTCAGTGCCTCTGCAATTGTCCCCTGCCTGTCCCCGCCTGGGTCACTGGTGTTTGAGGATTTTGCCAACCTGACACCCTTTGTCAAGGAAGAGCTGAGGTTTGCCATCCAGAACAAGCACCTGTGCCACCGGATGTCTTCTGCGCTGGAGTCAGTTACGGTCAGCGACAGACCCCTGGAGATGTCAATCATGAAAGCCGAGGTAGGTTCTACCACAGGTGTCCATTCTGTAAACACCTACTTAATCCACACCCACCGTCTGCCAGGTGTGCTGTAGACTGGGGGCTACAGATGTGAATAAAACAAACAAAATCACACCCTCTGAGAGCTTCCCTTCTCCTGGGAGGAGGCATTGGTACATGAACTAGGTAAATAAGAAATGTAAGAGACAAGCACAATGGTGAAAAATAACACAGGGAAGGAGGGTAGGGAGGTATGGGTGGTGGGTGGGCTTCCCTGACAGAACCACTGGAGAAGGAGAGAGGGGGAGCCCTGTTGGCATCTGGCAGAAGAACAAGATGAAGAATCCTGGGAGGTGGGAGTGTGGCAAGATCCTTGTAAGTGTTTTCAATCGCGTCATGCGTGTGAAGGCCAGACGGTGAATGCTGCAAACCGAAGAAGAATCGAAGTCTTTGAATTCCGGGGTTGGCCAGAATGTGCCATGGACTACCAGAAGAACAAACAAATTCATCTTGGCAGAAGTACAGCCCGGATGCTCTAAAGAGCCAGGGTGGTGAAGTTCTATCTTGGGTACTTTGAACACAGTATCGAGAGGGTCCAGGCCCTGGAGAAGGACACCTTGCTTGATAAAGTTGGGGGTGAGTGGAAAAGAAGAGGGCCCTGGACAAGATGAATTGGCACAGGGTTGCAACGTCAGCCTCCAACATAACAATCGTTGTAAGGATGTTGCAGGACTGGGCGATGTTCTGGTCTGTTGGGTGCTGGGTCTCTATGAGTCAGAACAGATTCCATGACACTGAACAGCAATAACAAAATAAGGGGTTTGGGATAAAGGGATGATTCTGTAGACTTAATGGACAGGATCACAGCCTTTGGGCTATATATAGTGGACCTAGCCAAAAAGACTTAAGCTCTAAAAGAAGCTGATTAATAATCAAAGATGGGAGTGGGAGAATAATGACTCTTCAGAGAATTGATCTGAAGGCTAAATGTCATGACATTGGTTCAGGGTTGAACAGAAGGCCTGGCTGATATTTGATGTTCAGTGAATGGCAGCTGGGACTACTGCATGAACCATAGGCAACACTGAGTGCCTCAGCTGTGCCCCAGTTCTCCTAAAGGGGACACGAAGGAGCAGCATCCCCCATGGTAGGTGCATTGATGCTCAGTCCAATAATGCACGGCGTGTAGCAGGATGTGGTGAAAGCAGCCGGATTCCTGTGGAAGGAGGGAAAGCCTTCTTGAAGGACATCTGGAAGGTTCTCCAGGGAAGCAACACGTAGCCTGCCTCATGGAAACATGCCTTCAAGCCACCCAACTCATCCGTTCTGACTCTGCTCTTGTCAAGTGGCCTTGGGATCTCAAGTCCGTGAAGTAGGTTTTCCATCTGGGAAGAGAACACGCTTGATGATTCTGGTCCTTTGGTTCCTGGAATTCTTATTTTTAAACAGAGACATCGAGCCTTCCACCCCAGGCCAAGCAAAGTCAGCATTGTCTAAAAAGGAATAGGCAGAAATCCAGCATCTCGATGCTCTTTTATTTGAGGTGTGGTTCTTCTTATTTCCCACTTTCCAGAGCGGACAGGGTCTGACTTTGGCAGCCTCAACCTTCACTCACTCATCCTTCCCTTTGGACTTCCATCTCTAGCCCTGGATTGTGCTGGCTCCCCCCACCCCTCAGGCGAGCGCGCTTCCATAGAGGAGCAGGGCACAAAGCAGACAGAGGGCTACTCTCTGAGAATCTCCACACCTGACTCAGGGAGGGGACCCAGGCCTGTGAGATGACTTAGTGGGGCGAAGGGTGGGGAGGTAGGGTTGTAGCTCACCACCCAGAGGTGGCACCCAGTTATAATGCCACTTTGGTTGGGAGGGGGCTTGGGTTCTTTGTCAGGAGTTTCTTAAGCGTTACCTAGATTTGAGTGGTACGTGCACGGACTTGGCCGGAAAAGATGGGGTTGTCCTTGGGTCATGAGCATACGACCTGAATCAAGGTAGACGAGGGAGCTGATGGCTTCGTGATATCCCTGACAGTGTTTCTTCGCTCCAGCAGGGCCATATTTACAAACTGAATGTCTTTGCTGCTCTTTGATGGGGATCAGGACCACCATCAACAGGCATCAATTTGAATATCAAACTCTTAGTGTAAAATCTAAATGTGTTTCTAGAGTAGATTTAAATTTTGATTTACTAATAGTGCCAATATAATTTCATTTCTAACCATCAGTTTTAAAGCGCTTTCAATATTCATCCTAAGAGTGTCCACTCTGTTTCTTTATAGAGGGGTTTACAATGGAAGGCTAGACCAGTTTTCCCAAAGTGGGCAATACCACCCCCTGAGGGTACTGGAAAGATCCAAGGGGTGTCGGGGGTGGGGGGGTGGGGGGTGTGTGTGCTGCAAAAACACATGTGTACACTTGATTCTGGATTATGGGCTCTAGTACAAATGTTTTAAATTGTCGGGGCCACTGAGTAATTTTTGTTTTACTGAAAAGTGAGTGGTTTCCAAACTTAGGCTAAATAGATTGGGGGAATCTATGGTCTAGAACCTTTTATTTTTTTCAGGTTCGTTTATGTTAGGGCCTCCCTGATGTTCCAGTTCTCACAGGCAGTAAAAAGGCAGTGAACTTGAGATGGACGGCATCTCTTGCCTCTGACAGAGTCCTGCTGGCGCTGCTGGCTACGTGTTGTTGGCCTAATACTTTCAGGGTCGGGTCCAAATCCACCAGCTACTTCTCTGGAGAATGAGGAGGCTGTCTTCTCCCATCAAAATGTACTGTCTTGGAAACCATACACAGCGTTGCCATGAGTCGGATTCAACTCACCAGCATTGGGAGTTTTTCAGTTTGGATTGGGGTTTAAACATCCCTTGGTTTATAATGGCTTGGACTTGACTACTAGCCAAAAGACGGATCATTCGAACTCACCCAGAGGCATTGCAGAAAAAAGGCCTGGCAATTTGCTTCCCTACAGGTTCCAAACCCAAACTCGCAGCCATCGAGTTGATGCTGACTCATTGCCACCCTATAGGACAGCATAGCCCCTGTGCTTCTCCAAGACTGTGACATGGAGTAGAAAGCCCCCCTTTTCTCCCACGGAGCAGCTATTGGTTTCAAACTGCGAACCTTGTAGATCGTAGCCCAATGCATAACCCCTGCGCCCCAAAGATTACAGCCAAGAAAACCCCATGGAGCAGTCCTGCGTATGACACGCGGTGTCGCCATGAGTTGGACTTGATTCGGTGGTGGCAGGTTGGCTTGGGGTTTGAGTTACTCAGCGTGTGCTTCTTGGGTTCTGTAGGTAGCCCCCGAGGAAGATGAAAGGAAAAAGCGGCGACGGGAAAGGAATAAAATTGCCGCTGCCAAGTGCAGAAACAAGAAGAAGGAGAAGACGGAGTGTCTGCAAAAAGTGAGTGCCTTTCGGCCAGCCGCGCCCCACCGTGGCTCAAGGCTGCCCTCCCCTCACCTCAGAAAGGGAGTTTACTAAAAAACCCCACTGAAAGTGTTTTCCTGAGAAGGACCGAGTGTTGGGGGTAGTGGGAATGCCAGTTGCAGAGGGAGAAGGCAACACAATCTATCAGTACCATGAACGTGACCCTGGATGTGTGAAAGGCAGGTGTGAGGATGAAAAAACCACAGGATCACCTGATGCCCAGACGCCCCTCCGCCAGGGCCAGCCCCCACACAGCCAATCTCCAGGCTGAGACATGCCAGTCCATTAGGGAAGCTTCATTCACCTGGCTTCCTGAGAAAATGAACCTGGCATCCCTCGTTTGGCTGTGAAAAGCCTTTAACTAATTGCTTCAAAAAAGTGATCTCTCTAATCTGCAAGCTGTGGTTACACTTCCTTGGTGCTCCTGTCGAGTCTGAGATCGGCCGGCTCCCCTACCTGTGGGGAGAAGAACCAGGGGTAACAGAGGAACAGGCCGGGTGGGTCAAGAGACCAGCCTGCCAGCTCTTTCTTTAGCTGTGCCCCCTCCCCCACATTGAACAGATGCCGGCAGAATCATATCCCCAAAGGCCTACATGTGAGCTATTGAGCACCACCCAGAGCCACTACCCATTGTCACCCACAGAGTCACAACCTGGCCCTGTGCTAGAAACTCAAGGGCATCTCTGAGAAGTCCCCCAAGTTCCAAGACTTCTCCAGGGTCTGGATTGTCCCAGACCTAGCACTGCTTCTCAGCTGTGGGCCATCACAGTGCAGGCAACCGGGAACCCTCTGTAGGCAGGTCCCTGCTAAAAGAAGCCTTCAGGGGCCCAGGGTTTCCCCTGCCACTTGGTCACCCCCTCTTCGCTAACCTTCTGGCTCCGTTGCTCATGCTTTGTTGCTTGTGCCCCAGGAGTCGGAGAAGCTGGAGACTGTGAATGCCGAGCTGAAGGCCCAGATCGAGGAGCTCAAGAACGAGAAGCAGCACTTGATCTACATGCTCAACCTCCATCGGCCCACGTGCATCGTGCGGGCCCAGAACGGGCGGACTCCAGAAGATGAGAGAAACCTCTTTTTCCAACAGATAAAAGAAGGGACATTGTAGAGCTAAGCGGCTATGGTATGGGGGCAACTGGGGAGTCCTCACTGAATCCTCCCTTTAGACCTCAAAGCCCTGAAGTGATCGGAGATCTGACTTCCTGTGCACCTCTAGGACCCCAGCAGCAGAGACCCACGGAAGCGGGAGGCCCGAGCTGACTGGGCTGGTTCTGTCTGCTCAAGCACCAGAACAGACTTTGGACTAGGGCAAGTGCGTGTGTGCCTCAACTCCGGGATTTAGGCTTTACCATACTGGCCCTTAGTAGATGCTCTGGGAGACCCCTGGTTAGGGTCCTACTCACCTTTCATCCGGATTCCACAAAAACCAGGAGTCCCACTATGCGGATTCACGCAGAAGAAGTATTGTGCCTTGGGTGTGTAGGGCCACCGCCTCTGCTGCCACTGTCACCTGTCAGGGAAACAGAGAGGATGGCAGTCGGTGACCCTGTGCTTTCTGGCAAAGATGCTGTTCAGCACAGGAATTACTGTGTGCAAGGCAGTCATTTCAAAACGAGCCATTGTGATGATGAGTTGTTTGCACAACATGGTGTGACCTTTACAGGACTTTTCTCAGATCTGGTTTCTGAGAGCTTGGGGAGCTGTCATGCCAGGCGCTGTCTGTCTTACAAAGTGTTCAGGGGTCCAGAGGGTCTCGTCAGTCCAGGAGAACAGAATCCTCCTGTGGGCCAGCACCATCAATTTCCTTTTCCTTGGTTGGCCCCAAGGCATTAACGTGAAATCCATGGGCATAGTGTAATCAGGGGGGGTCCTCTGTTATAAACTCTGTAAATCCTCATCACAAGAAGGATGCTGAAAGGAAAAGCCACCTTCCACAGGGCCAGGATTCTCTGGGTCAGGAGGTGTTTGTGGGCCTGGAGAGTCAAACAGTTCCATTTTCCTTTTCTTGTGGTCCAAAGCCACGGGCCGTGGACATGTTGAGAGCCAGGTGATGCCCAGGCGTTAGTGTTGCTGGCTGTTAGTGGCATTGCTGGGGTCATTTAGATCTTTTTAAAAAGTCTGACCCAGAGCATTTGCCACTGTGAGAAGACACACTGGTCACCAGGACTCTGGATCCCGTCTAACTGTTAACTGAAATTCTCCAAGTGTTTACTCCTCTTCAACGTTATCAGTACTTGTTCTCTAAGAGATAGTACTTATTTATCGCAGTACTCTTAACCTGTCAGTGTAATGAATATTGGAACTAAGATATGGCAGACTTAAGTGTTGTGCTGATTGCTTTTAGACAGAATGGTCTTTGAGGTTTAGGGATCCCCCTCTGCTCCCTTCTCCATTTGGGGGTGTTTATTCTCTGGGGGTCATCCTTTGTTCTTTGGAATATCATGAAGTGAGATCATTGGCCTGAAAGGCACCGGATTGCTCCATTTCCCATTGACGAACTGTGCGGTGGTACAATAGAATTTTGCAAATAAAATTGGATTTGCTAAATACCTCAACGATCAGTTTCTGTGCATGTACAGACACCGTTTGTTCAACTTAAAACGTCGAGGTCTCCCATTCTGCCTGAGAACTTCTCTGAAAGTATTCGTCCCTTGAATAGCGTTGGTTAGAAAGCCCACAGGTGTGTGTGCATTGCAAATGTGTTATTTCTAATATCAGAAAAGAATGAGATGGGGCCAGGGAGCTAGAAGGAAAATTGATAAGGTGGGTGCGATAATTTAAAGAAAAGCATTCTGCTGAATTATGTGGAGTCATCAGGCCACACTATAACCCGTTGCTGTTAGGCTGCTTCTGACTCTGGCCTCCTGTGTCGGCTCAGAACTGCTCCGTGACAATTCAAAGGCTGCCGTCTTTTCGGCAACAGCCTGCCTTAGTTTTCCTCTGCAGCAGCTGGTGGATTCAAACCCCTGATATTTGGTCAGCAGTCAAGCACTTTAACCACTGGGCTTCTTCAGCCACAGAACCAGGCTCCTTTGCTCTTGGCTTATGCACACACATACAGTTCACATGTCAGACATGAACATGGACTGTGTTGTCACCGACGCCGTCAAAGACACCTCCTTCATTACCCATTAGAGTCATCCACACCCATGGGGTTCCTTCGCCTGGTGCATGTGTGCGTGGATCCTTGACATTTTATTACCCGGGATGCAGGCGTCATAGTTTTGCTGCTTTCATTACATACTAAAGATAGGTTCCTAATCTGAAGAGTCCGAGTGAGGTTGGACTTCTTTTACAAAATAACCTATTTCGCTTGTCTACCCTCTGGAAGGGAGGGCATGAAAACACACCTGTTGTTGATTGAAGTGCTGGGCTGCTAACCGACAGGCTGGTAGTTTACATTTACCAGCCACCCCGGGAGGAAGAAGAGGCTCTGCCCCCGACAGGTAGACAGCCTCAGCCTCAGAAATGCCAAGTCGCTATTCTGCTCTGTCGTGGGGAGTCGCTGTGGCTCAGACTCAGCTCACTGGAAGTGGGTTTGTGGGTTGCTTGCTCTAAGGACAGGTTAGAAGTGCCCCATCGTGTTTCCCAAACTGAACCTTTATGGAGTCAGACTGTCACGTCTTTCTTCTGAGGCACGTGGGTTCAAATCGCCAAACTTTTGGTTAGCAGCCAAGCACTTTAGCACTATGCCACCAGGCCTCCTGGGTGTGGGTGTGGGTGCCACCAACCACTATGAAATTCAAGGCGATTTGTACGCCACCATGGACAATAATGGATTTGCGAGGAAGGCAGATGTTGGGATATGGGGTCAGAACAATGAATCTGAGGAATGCACTGTTTATGGTTAGAATAACTGTAAGCTCTTTTTAATAAATGCAATATGCATATTCGCTTTCTGTGGTTATGTTTTGATACTTTAATAATAAAATATTTAAAGGATGATATGTATGTATGTCAAGTTGTTTAGTTCATCTTATTTCACATCCAAAGGAGATGGACGAGAGGGGGATCAAGAGAATACACTTGGATGGGCTTCCACCAGAATCCACTAGTCCACCATCCAGTGTGACAGTGTCCTTTCCCTGAGCTGCCTCCTGCTGGGAGCGGTCCTCACAGTGGTGGAACAAGAAAACGCCACCCCACCCCTCTAACTTCATCCTGCCCCTTCACTTTCCCTAAGATTTGGCCTGATACCCCTTCAGAGTAAAAAGCTTTATCTATCTTTCTATCCATCCAAGCTTTATCTATCCATCATCATCTGTCCATCCATCCATCCATCTTATTTATACTATGAAGTATAACACACAGACACAGGGGAAAACATAAAAAACACAGGTGCACAGCCCACCTCCTCTGAACAGTAACTGTGTCCCCAAAGCCCCCGTGTATGTGGCCCCATCTTTTTCTTAACCTCTGCTCTCCTCTTGGCCTTGCGATAGTCTGTAAAGTCTGCTTCATTAGGTGTGAAAACCATTTTTCCTTGTTTTTTTTTCTTTTGTACTAATGGTGTCATAGTCTTTGTGAGATTGGCTCACTTTGCTGAGCATCATGTCTTCCACATCCGTCCGTGTCTTGGGGTGTTTGGACAGTTTAATCGGTTTTTTTTTGTTGGTTTGTTTATATTTTGAGATGCAAACTATCCCATTGTACGGGTGTACCACAGTTTATCCATTTGGTGGTTTCCACCTTTTTGCTACTGTGGATAGCGCTGTGATAAACATGGGTGCACCTGAGTCTGTTCATGTTTTGTTCTTGGTGCCTTTGGGGTAAGTACTGAGTAGAGGGATGGTTGGCTACTTCGATCCACATTGGTTGAAGGAAGCACAATAGTAGTGACGGTACAAGCCTGCAGTCCCACCAGCCGCACCTGAGCATTCTCATCTCCCACCTCCTCAGAGGAAAAGTTTAAAGGGTTTTGTTTTACCTTGCCTAGGACAGGGTGTGGAGAATTGCGTTTCTTTCATTTTCCACCAGGAAGTAAAATGCCAAGTATTTTCCATCTTAATGCTTTGAATCAGCCCTTGGAATCGCAAAACCAAACCTACTGCCACCAATGTGGTTCGGACTCACAGCAGCCCTGGAGGGCAGAGTGGAACTGCTCCCTAGGAAGGGCATGTTTGTGGGAGCAGACAGCCTCATCTTGTGGGAGGTGGATTTAAACCCTGACTCTCCAGTTAGCAACCCCAATGCTTAACTCACAGTTCCACTGGGGGTCCTTCACTCAAACCCACAGCCTGCTTTCCCTCTCTTCTTGAGCCCGTCTGCTCTGACTCGCCTTCTTCACTCTCATCTCCTCTTGTCCCACGTCCTCTGGTTTATGTCCTCCAAGCATGATTTTCCCCAGATGAATCCTTTTTTTTCCAGACAGAGGTAAAACCTCAAAGCAGACCAAGTGTGTCTATTGAGGAGCCTTCTGTGTTAAGAACCCAGATGCTTCCCTATCTGACAAACACACAACACAGGACTCTCAGAAACGAATTCACACTAGAATGAAAGTGTGTTTAGGACTGCCGCTCATGACAGCTAACGTTTTTTATTGGTTTTATTGAGCAATAATTAACTCCTCAGAGAATTCAATCATTCAGTCATTTAAGAAGGGTTGCACAGTTGCCAACTTTGGAACTTTTTCTTCCTTCTTGGGCCCACTAGTGTTGACTTCTCATGTCCCCTCCCCTCCCTTTCTGTGCCCTGGGTCATGACTATTTCAGTTCCCGTCTTCATAAACTCTGGCTTCCCCATGTAGAAAAACATAAAGCAAGGACAAAAGCCAGGGGGACTCAGCAACAATGGAACAACAGTGAAAGACCTCCATCCAAGGAAAAGACGATATTAAAAATTTGGATAAATTAAGAGTGCATCCAAAGGGAGATCTAATGGCAAGGCATACTCCAGTCTAAGTACAGTTTCTGTGACCCTTTATAGTGCTCTTTGTCTGATATCAGGGCTGTTCACATTCCAAGAGAGATTCACCAAGGATTTCATCCATGTAGTCACTCTAAGTTCCCCAAACTGGTACTTAGGAATTTAGGTACTGGAATTTAGGTACTGATAACCATTCCCTCCTGCGGTTTGGATCTTATTGTTTACAATCTTGGATCACACAGGCTGGAGGGCTCCTTCTATGTGGACATAGCTGACTCCTCAGTTTGATAGCTGCTTTTTTTTTTTAGACAAGCCCTTAAGACCTCAAACACTATTTTTCCTGGTAGTTGGGTACCATCTGCTTTCTTCACCACACTTTTCTATGGCACATGACAGGGCTGTGTCACAAGAACTAATTGGTTTTGTATTAGGGCCACAATCAAGGGAAAGCTCAAAATCCATTCATGTGACTATGGTTCCTCTATGTTCGTGGTTCACTTTTGGACACATCGTTATCATTTTATTGTGCATCATAGATCATCCTCATGGGCATACGATAATCCTGCTGCTAGTAACATTATTATAGTCAGTTTAGCTAACATACTGAGTCAGGCAACATGCTTAATAGTTTACCTGTAATCCTCATTAAAGCCATTATTAGGAGTCCTGGGTGGTGCCCTGTTAGGGACCTAAAAGCTGTTGGTTTGAATTCATCCTGAGTTCCCTCAGAAGAAAGGCCTCAGTGTCTTGGCTGCTTCCATGGGAAAACTGCGGAGATAGCTGGATGCCCCCAGGGCTCCGGTTAGTTATAGAACCAACCAAACTCATTGTCACGGGGTCAATGGTGACTCATAGTGACTGGCCCCTGTGTGTTTCCAAGTCTGTCACTATTTACGGGAGTAGAAAACCCAGTCTTTCTCCCTCAGGGCTGCTGGTGGTTTTGAACTGCCAACCATGAGGATCGCAGCCCAACACATAAGCACGACTCCACCAGGGCTCCTTAGGTTAGGAAAAGAGTGGATTACACCACAACATTTTTCAAAAGGCAGTCACAAAGAATCCATCGGGCATAATTTTACTTATTGTCCTGATTCTGTCTCAGAGTGATCCTGAAAGGTCAGAGTAGAACTGCCCCTTAGGGTTAAACTGAAAAACAAATCCAAACTCACTGCCATCAAGTCAGTTCTGACTGATAGTGACCCTACAGGTGTGTAGTTAATACATTTTATTCTATTTGCACATCTCTGAAATCAGGATGGCCCTACAATCGCTATGGCAGTCATGAGGCATCTAGGACTTCAGACATTGTGTACATAAGAAAGTAATATGTGACCAGAATCTAAGTTTGAAAGACTCCTTTCATTCTATATATAATTAAACTCACTGGTTTCTTTGGTCATTTAAAACATGAACTTATCACAGAACCACTGGTTGGCTGTTAGGAATGAAAGAAGGAATGCCACCCGTATTCCACAGACGAGGACGTGAGTCTCAGAGAAGATCCATGCTGTGGGGCCTTGGCAGAGCTGATCCCCCAGCTCATTGAGTGTAAACCCCTGTCTCAGGCCTGGGAGGGACAAAGCAGAGGAATTGGCTTGAAACAGATATGATTTACCACCAGTTTCAGAACTCTATGGAGACCAGCACCAAATCACCCAACAGAGTGGTGGGAGCTGGGAAAATGCTTCATTGGGAGTCGCTGCTTTGGGTTTCCAATTTCTGTGAGCTCAAAGCCTTCGCTTGCCTTACAGAAGCACTTCCAGACAACTCTTCCCCTGAATCCGGCTCCCAGGCTTCTACCTCTGACCCAAGCTGTAGCTATAAACAGACCTCCTGCCTGAAATTCCAGGGCCTTGTTCCCCGCCAGTGACTACTCCAGGTGGGGGCTGCCTCTCTCTGTAGCCCAGTGCTGTCTAGGCTGCACAATCAATTTCTGAAAGCCAGGCTCTGAGTCATTTCTCCCACCACATCTTCCAGAACTTTCTCTGGTGTTCCGGGGGGAAAAAAAAAAAAAAAAGCCTTACAACCTACACCAGGAGGCAGGGCCAGAGTTGGGCCTGGCATCCTTGTTGCTCGGACTATCATAGTTAGTGCCTGAAGCGGCTTCGACCCGTGGAGTGAGCCAGTGATTCTGCAGGGAGGAAGGAACATGCCAACGATTTGATCCAAATTGGCCCTGTGAAGAAAACAACCTAAAAATAATTAACCCAGAGCTCCGGAGAAGACCTGTGGAGGTAGTGGGGGTGGAGGATGGTGCTAACTGTCAGGAGACAGAAGGAATGATTTACTTGTGACCACTTTCCCCCTTGACTCAACATGAAGAAATCACAAAAAGATCCCATCCCATCCCATTGATCTCATGCTTTGCACTGAGACACAAGTAAACACACTTGTGTGGCCGAGGCTCTCATCTCTCCATTGTGAAGATCAGCAGATGAACGTTTGGAGCACTGAGAGAACTTGTTCAAGGTTGGGTGGGGTGGGGTGGGGCAGGGTGATGGAATGGGATTCATTGGTACCAGAGTCAGCACTCTCCCCTGACACCGTGGACATTGTCCTCTGCCTGAGAAAAGACCTTTACCAAAGGTCACACATTGAATTGTGTCTCTCAAAAATATATGTCCACTTGGCTGGGCCATGGTTAGCATGGGCAGTTATGTAGAGATATAATTTGGCAGTTATGGAATGATGTAGCCCTACCACGTGGTGTGTACCAGCCATCTGTTAGGGCTTAGAGTAGGATGCACCACTCTTATTCAGAGCACAGCCCCAAGTTTCCATGGTGTGTGGGCTATATCACCTTGTTACTAGGAGAGAGAAATAAGCAGACATCAGAGGTATCTCAGTGCCATCAAGAAAGCAGAGGTAGGAATACAGAGTGTCCTTTGGCCCAGGGCTCTGAACCTCCTAGACCCAGGGGAAGATGGATGCCAAGCGGGAGATCTCCAAGGGATGCGGGACCCACAGATCCTGAAAGGATCCTTCCCAGAGCCTGCACTCTGAATTCAGACTTCTAGTTTCCCAAACTGTGAG